CATCCAGGTACACGAAAAGAAGTGACAAAGCTCTCCCCACCGATCTCTCAGGGTTAAGAAACCAAATGAGATATTGTCTGTGAAACCATTTTCTTAGACTATAATGGTACATACAATGTGAGCTGCTACTGTTTTTTATATACTAATTACAGACTATCTATATATTAAAACTAGCTGGTGGGCTTTTGATTAGGAAGCTGCATCAGTTGTTTTTGTATTTCCAAATATAAGAGATGTTTTGGAGATTTGGGGTTGTTGTGAATAGGCACATGTTTCTACCTTGACTTAAACTGTGGCGGTGTGAGACATGGCCGAGGGTGCCAACATGCCCGGGTGACATGCTGACGCCAACTGCCTGCCTCATCTCCCCTGTGCGTGCACAGCTCATTAATTGCATCAAGGGGGAAACTATTTAGGTGCTAAGATCCTGGAAAATCAAAGACTACTCTACTGTCAAGTGGTCTTAGACATGGACCACGGTAAAAACAGAAGGATGATCTGGAAGCAAATGCCACATCTTCAGCAGAATTCAAGTTATTCAGGCAAACACTTCAGCTTTAGCCAAGTGCTAAATTGGCACTTTAAGCCAAATATGATCAAAGTTCACAGGGATTATATATGAAAAGTTATCAGGAAACCTCAACAGTATCAAAGTGAGGCTTGCAGGAGAAACCAGATAAGGGGAATATGTAAACTCTGTACCACCTTTGCAACTTGGCCGTAAGTATAAAATTATTCAAGATTAAAAGTTCATTTTTTAGGGGCGCCTGGGTGGCTCGGTCGTTAAGCGTCTGCCCTCGGCTCAGGTCATGATCCCGAAGTCCCAGGATCGAGCCCCACGTCCAGCTCCTTCCTCAGCGGGGAGCCTGCTTCCCCCTCTCCCTCTGCCTGCCGCTCCCCCTACTTATGCTCTCCCTCCCTGTCAAATAAATAATTTAGAATTAGATAGCCCAACTATCTCCTGACGTGGGTTTTGAGGCAGTAGCAGCTACATCGCACAGCCAAAGAAACTCACAGAAGATAGAGCAACTGTCCCAGGGTCCCACAGCTTTTCAGAGGTGGGGGTGGGATGCTGTTCCTGGTCCGCCTGACCCCAAAGCCCAAAGAATAAGCGAGTCTGGCTGAAGGACCCAGGCAGGAAAGGCGGGGGGCCTGCCCTCCAGGGAAGATCTAAATGAACAACAAATGCCCACCTATTTCCAGTCCACTGGGCAGGTTTGTCTCAAGAGGCACCACTGAGTCACCCAAAGGCCATCAATCCAAGAAATGAGACGGTCCCCTCTTCAAAAGGCAAATTAAGAGATGCATCTAAAAATGGATGTCCTGATCCCCCTTGGAAAATCTTAAGGTTGGTATACCTTCCTCCAATAAGTTCACCTGAAAATCCTCTCACCCAGAAATTCATCCTAGACTACGCTGCTAAAGAAGTCTCCCTATAAGGCTGTTACTAGTCAACTCCAGGGCCATGGCTTAAAGGACTAGGGCACTGACGAGCACCCAGCACACGAAAAATAAATTACAGATGGGCATAAATCAACCACCACAGGCCTTTTCAAAACCCACCAAAAGAAAAGCTCTCAGAAAAGAACCAATCACAAGATGGCTCCTCCTCAGAAGAGCTTGCTGAAGGCTCACAGGTCAGTCCCTCTCTGCCTGACGTCCTCTGTGTGCCACCAGAGGGCACTAACTCATGTAACCATTCCTGAAAAACTTCTGTCCCATTTTAAACTGCAGGAATGTTGAATGAAAACTTCAAATCAATGAAGTGCTAGGTATGCAATTTTGACAGCGGCTTTAGGCATCTGCCGGTCATAAATCTCGATTTAATTCCATAAAACTTAGCAGTACACACACACACAGCAACGGGGCATGCTAAAAAAAAAAGCCAATCAAATCTTCAGATTTATGAAAATAATGTATTTCAAAATACAGCTAAGAGTTACACATTTGCTCCTGCATCTCTTGGCTCTAAGGCTGTCACCTGGGTAACCTGTCCCAGGATCTCATACATGGCACATACGCGTAAGAGCCCAAAGAAAAACGTTTCAGGATCTTCCTTCCTTTGAAAGCCACTCTTGATTGAGTTAAAGTGGACATTCACCACATTAAATTACAGTTCAGTTTATTACTCATGATTAAAACGTGATTTAGTCTTTTGTACTAAAATCCTTGTAAGAGATAAAGAGCACACATTTCCTAGTGCTCACTACGCCCTGGGTTGCTATTCTGAGCACATTACACTTATTTAATACTCACAACATCCCTCGGAGAGGCTGTAAAATTCTATTTTAGTAAAAAGTTCAACCTTGCATTTCTTGAACACAATCAAGAATTTTTCTTTACATTTGTATCCTCCACTGATGATTTATTTGCCCACAAAACTATAAATGCAGATTTGTGAGTTCTGCCTCATTAACCACCTTCTGCAATTATTTCTTCACCCCAGAAAATTCACACTTCTTATACTTTCATGGGAGGATAAGATTACATAATCAAAATAGTTCAGCGGTAAGTTTAATGAAAAATGCATTATGCCCTGAAAGGTTTTTTTGTTTTGCTTTGTGGTACATAAAAATCTGCTCTTTGCTTTTCACACTTTATTTAAAAGGAAGTGAAACATATTTACTGATTTGATCAGAAATGCTGGGTACCTCTAGGTGACATAAAATTCAAGCTCAATTGGGCCTTTGGTTTTCCTGGTTTTAGGGTGATTCTTTCAGTGTGCAATGAACAACTGAGGTTCACAATGAAATGAACACAATCTGACAAACGCAGTACGCTATACCTGAGAAGCTGAAGTTCTTTAACCAGTTTAGCACAACTTACTGCCCCAAATAAACTCACCTTGAGATAACAGCCTACGTCACAGGATACGGCTTCCCTGGGTTTTGACCTTTGTGTTAAAAACAAACAAACAAACCAATCCTCCTTGAAGGTTCTCAAGAACACGTGGGTACTGTGGCCTACATCAGCACTCAAGGAATAAAGAGGTCTAGAACACCTACACCTGCAACATGCAGGTGTTCTAGAACACAAGTATTTCTGTTAGTACCATCAGAATAACTGCCTCTGTGTCTTTGTTAATGCCCCTTTGATCTAGGAAATATTTTGGTTTATCTTGTTTACTTGATGCCAAAATCTATTATTTTAAATTATTAAATATTAGGAAAAGTTAAAAATGTCTACTTTCTACCTATTTTTATTTTTCAATGCTTCTTTCTAAACTCTCACTAGAGGTCTTGGTATTAAAATAAAGAACAGCTTGTTTTATTGCTTTGCTTTCCTGGGCTTCACAGGTATTGAGCTTTTACAAGTTGAGGGTTTGTGGCAACCCTGTGCCAAAGCATGCCTATCGGTGCTATTTTTCCAATAGCATTTGCTCACTTTGTGTCTCTGGGTCACATTTTGGTAATTCTCGCAGTATTTTAAACTTTCTCCTTATTATTATTATGTTTTTATGGTGACCTGTGATCAGTAATCTTTGATGTTGCTACTGTCACTATTTTGGGACGCCACAAACCACATCCATGTAAGATGGCAAACTTTACTGATAAACATTGGGTGTGTCCTACTGTTCCACAGACCAGGCGTTCCCATGTCTCTCTCCTCCTCCTCGGGCCTCTCTGTCCCTGTGACACAACAATATTGAAATTAGGCCAGTTAATAACCCTACGATGTATCTAAGTGTTCAAGTGAAAGGAAGAGCCCATGTCTCTCACTTTAAATCAAAAGCTAGAAATGATTCAGTTCAGTGAGGAAAGCATGTTGAAAACCGAGACAGGCCGAAAGCGAGGCCTCTCCTGCCAAAAAGCCGAGCTGTGCGTGCAAAGGAAGAGTTCTCGAAGCAAATTAGAAGTGCTACTCCAGTGAACATATGAGTAAGGAAGCAAGACAGCCTTAGAGCTGATATGGGGGAAGTTTTAACGGTCTAGATAGATCAAACCAGCCCCAACATTCCCTTAAGCCAAAGC